CTTTAGTCCCCTACCGGGAGCATCACAAAGCAAAGGCCATGGGCTCAAATCGATGTCCACCATTCTCACAGTCGGAGCTACGTCACGATCCCCCAAACGTTGCCAGGACCAATCACAAACAGGAAAAGACAATGAATTTTCGGATTAACACCTCTGTTTTCCCCACGCTAACCAAATTTCCCTCACGCTTACGGAAAAATCTTTTGTTTTCCACTGACTTCCTGTTCCCGTCTGTCTGTATGAATTCGCAAATGACTAATTCAATTGTTGTTAGCAGTAACCACAGGCAAGCAAGCCAAGAGAATTCAGTGTGAACCAGGAAGTGAACTCTTAAAATATACTTGTAAATCCATTGTGTGTATATACACCGCTGAAACAGGAGAACAAAGATTGTATTGTTATCCTCTCACGACTTACTCAAACAGTAAACGAGACGTAGCAAACAGCTTCAATATATAGTTTAACAATGATGCCCAGATCTCGTGACGAATCAAGATGTAAACAAAGAATCCTTCAATACGTCGCTTCACGAAAGTTGACTACAACTGTCAAACAATCGCATTTCAATAACAAACTAGAATATGTTGTATTTTTGTATATTCATCTGTAAATTTATTTACGTGTTTAAGTAACTCGGTGTATGGTTTGAAGAAGCATGCACTCAATGTGAAGCCTTGCAACCAGTTTGTCATATACATTGGCAAATATGACCATATAATAGAGGTTTTCTTGTTGACATTCTGGTAAGTCTGACGGGGTTCGACACATTTCGGATTCACCATAATGTCCACTGTCCCCGCAAAATTCGGCACGCCAGACGGTTTGTGGTAGCCGATGGTGTCATCTCTGCCAGCAAGACTCTGTGACAGGGTTGTCGTTATACTGTGGGCTTATGGCAATCCGAAGAGCACTTCTCTGTGTCATTTTGAGTGGTGGCACACCCTTGTAACAAGAAATAACAAGTTTTTGAATTGCATATTTGTTTTAAATAACAGACATTTGTTTACAGAAAATGACTTGCACGTTTTGATAGTCATTAAATTCGTGTCTCTTTCCAATCACATTTCTTTAAATTCGCATTTTTTTCTTTTCCCAACTCATAGTTTTATTATTGTGAACTCCCTAGGCTGATGAGAACTGACACTCATAACAAAGCACTGGGAGGACGTGGGTTGAATCGGTGACGATCGGGAGGCGTCGGTTAGTTGTGTACCGCTGGTGATCCCGCTTGTTACGGACTGCTATTCACAAGCACAAATACCTTATATAGTGAGTTCTAACAACATTACGAAGGCTGAATGCCACTTTAAGCCTACCACCTCACCGAACACAAATACATGCACAACTCTATTACAGTAGTCAACATTCAAATAAATTACTTGAGTGCATAGATTGAACAATTTCTCGTTGAATGCTTATTTTGATCTGTTCTTATTCATAATGCAAATCACGGACATAATTTTATAGGTCAATGCACTATCATTCCACGCACACCACTAAGAAAACGAGAGAGCTAGTTAGATGACTTTGAGATATTGCAGCAATATTGAATATATTTTCTACATAGCATTGCCAATATGAATATGATTGGTTGTGGATGTACCGCACAAATAATACACACCATAACAAGTTTCTGTGACATTATATAGACTTCATACATGGTCTGCCCTTAAGTTTAGTTAGAAACCTTCCAGGGACACCAGGATATTCTCCCTTAGATCGCGTTCACGCACATAATTTACAGCATGGAGCATTTTGACATATAATTTTCTCCCCAACAAAAATCATGCCAGGGGTCGAACATAGTTTGTCTAGGACATTTTTTGCTACCATTTGTCACATTTTATAGGACATTTTCCCCAATTTTAAAAATTGTTTTCTATCCCGGCTAGTTGTTATTGCTGAGTGAGACTTTATTTGTAACGCCGATACGTTCCAAAACAAAATAACCCGTTCAGAATATATATCCCATTTGAGGATGGTCCAAACTTCCAATATTTTATAGGTTTTCATAATATGCTGATTGATTGACTAAATAGTAATGATATTAATTCATTAGCTGACTACTAGTCGATGAGTTCATACTTAAAATATTAGACCTTCTGTACTACAGTGTCTCACACTTTATTGACAACAGAGAGTGATATTAATGGGTTATCAACATACCAAGGTTCAATGTCACGTAAAAAACGCCACTATAAAGACTTTTCGTTTTCGACATTGTGAAATTCTTTTGTTTTTTGGAGAAACAACCCTGCAAAAACAGAGTTTGACAAGATAATTTAGAAATTTATATTAAGAATAATTCAAAACGAAATGTATTTCCTATTTAACCAATAAATAATTTTCATAATTACCGATTACACAAGAATATTACAGAACAAAAGGAAATTTTGCTATAATCTCCATATTTTTGTCTTTTATTTGTCTTGAATTATGACTGAAAGAAGCTTAATGAAATTACAACAACTCATGTATGAACAAGAACTTTAATAAATATGATTTTACTTGGGGTCCCAGACTTTGACTAAAAAGTAGGATATGGCACGGTAGTTAACAAACCATACCCACACTTACCGACTGTGAAATGGCAGAGATGCACAACAATCGATACAATCCCGGCAGTCGGGGTCAAATCTCAAATCGGTCACGTGTTGGTTTAGTCAAGAAGATAACTCATTTGTGTATAATTCATCGTTGGTGGCGCTCCACTACGTCGCCTTCAAAAGTGAACTTGAATTTATTTATTTATTTATTTATTTATTTATTTATTTATTTATTTATTTATTTATTTATTTAACAATAGCGCACTGGGCATTCACATTCACATTCACATTCATAAAATAAATGTAACTAAACTTAAATATAAACCAACACCAAACCAACAAATTTATAACGATTACTTAAATGTGGCGGTGAATCAACATGTCTACATTACAAACAAAGAACCCACTACAAATACTCGCTAAACGACTAATAAAACATTGTTGGTGATGTTTACTCTATTTAGAGGTTTCATGAAAATGATTATTTACAGATAAAACGAAATACATTTGATACCAAACTTGAAATACATTGACATTATTTGTGGGCATTACTGTCTATTGATTTTTTGGAGAATTTTTCAAATCAGGACGTAAGATAATTGACATTTGTTAGCAATGCGCATTGTAAATTAAACCCATGCAACGAAAAACACCGTCTCTATCACACGGTACGTGATTTACTCGAAGTTTACGTCATCGATTATAAATTACTTTGGTTTAACATGACGTCACAATCCGTTGGTTTGATGCGCTTTTTGTATAACATTTCATAAACGTGAGTAGATTTTTCAAGAGTGATTCTATCATCATGCGATAAAATAGATGCATCCATCAACTCATCTTTATCAGGCAGAGGTCTAAAGCAAGTACTGTCAAGCGCTTTACTAAATATCTGCTCACGGTAGTTGTTCTCCTTCCAGTGGTTGTGCCATCCGTTCATATTACGAGGTTTGCATGTAAGCATGCTTTTCGTGTATGGAATGTCAACCTTCTGACACAGTATCTTTAATATCTTCTCAGGATGGTGAGACAAGTCATACGCATATATGATTATAGGCTCCTGTTTCAGTACTTCCGTGACATATTGATATAGACGATATACAGGGTTGATATTCCATTGAAGCATCGATATCCATGATTGATCTCTATTATATGAAGTTTTCAAATTAGCAACACTGTTTATACATCGTACTGGCTCTCGGATCAGAAAGACGTGAGTGAATCCGGATGGTATTTGGTGAAATTGACCGTACATATACACAGCCATATCCTTGAAAGCAACTACATTTTTCCCTGCGTAGTCTGCTTCCAGCATTCGTTTAACATTGTTGTATTTTTGACCAGGTTCTACATAATCTGGATGTACCATATAGTGAGCTACGTCATTGAAATACGGCATACCAAATGGTTCGTGGAAACAAATGGTGTCATCTCTTCCAGCTAGACATTGTGAGAGGACAGTGGATAGACTGCGAGGATGAGTCCATATAGCAATACGACGTACACTTCCCCGAGACATTTTGAGACGTTGTCACGTGAGATCTGGTGAGAAGCAGAGAATACATGTTACATCTTACAGTTGTGTGATATGCGAATCGCTCTCAATGAAATAGTTAATACTGCTATAGAGGTGGCTATGTTGGCAGTTCCACAACTCGTTTGATTAGATGTCCGTGTATTGTGGATTGATATAATTGATTCTCCCAGAAAATAATATTATCAGAGCCAAAAATCTTCGAGATCTGAAAGTCGCTTTCGACAAACAAAGTTATTTTATCACTATTTCGGCAAGTTTTCAACTTGCATTTATGTAATGAAAATGATGAAAGGGCGTTAAATCTTTTACGTTCAACGGTCGCATGTTTGTGTCTCGTTTAAGGTTTAAATGACAAATGTTTTAGTGTTATACATTCTGTGACAATATAACTATTGTGTCTTTATTATAACATATAAAAATAAAAATTGGATCGATCATTCCTTTTTATTATGAATTATTATAATACTAATGTTTGCCGTTGTGTGAATAAGACATGCTTTCAATTAATCGTCTATATGTGAATACTCCAAATTGGTTTAAATTATTTTCTATATATAAATATACTTAAGTTTATACAACATTATTGCCACAATTTGACGCTTTCATTAATATATTTATTTGTTAATTTATGTTTACATACAACGATTTTATTGTGACTTGTGTCAGACAGTCTTGACAATAATATAGTTTCGTACGTGGATAAAATACATGAAACCATTTTGCCTTATTCGATTCAAAATTTGTAATTTATCGAAAAAAAAACTTTTCTTTCCACTCAATTTAGGAAAAAAAACAACAACGCAGTTTACGTACTTGGGCTATCATTCAAACTAATGAACCTTTGATCCATTGACCTTTCAAGCTATCAAATCTTTGGACTATAGAGACGGCACTGCATACAGTTCAAACATATGGCACCAACCCTATATTGCCATGTGTACTAGTAATTTGTTGTTTGTTTTAATCGTACTAGTATTTATTTTGTAGCCGTCACGTGGGTTTAAACTTTGCACTAGACACTCTGAACGTATGGTAGTAAAAATCGGACTATAAAAACAATAAGTGAGTATTGTCATTGTCAGTAACAGTGTGACCTGTATCGTGGTCAGCCAGACGTTCATGGACTCCAGCACACATTCCCAATAACATACTAAGGCGTTCAATGACTTGTCAATGGGACAATGAAATTGCAATTGACAAACCATAGAAAAACATTCTCACACTTACCATCCGATCATCAATCTAACACAATGGTTTGTCCCAGTCAACCTGGGTCCTGAGTTCGGACATGTCACGTGTTTATAGTGTGTATGGGTGAACGTTGGTGGCGTTACCCCTACTCAGCTATCTATATTTCAATGTATGTGCAAAGTTGGAAACGTTGTGTGGATAACCTGCAAAGTTACGTGCAAACTTGCAATGTTTAGATAAAAGTCTGCAAAGTTTTGTGACAAATTTGTATGGTTACATGAAAAGCCGGTATAGCTATGAGGACAGTCCACACACTTGCGTGCAAAATCGGTAACGTTTACATTTGTTAAAATTACGTTGAATGTCTTAAAAATTGTGCGTAACGTTACATAGAAGTCTGTAACGCTGTGCAAAAATTTGGTTACAAGTTACAAGGAAGGTCTGTGTTTCAAAGTTACACATACAATTATGTGGAACGCCTGCAAGCTTAGTTATGGGTAATGTTTGTCAATGAAATTATTAAATTTCTAAATTTGTCTCTGCCGTGTCTGCATTATTATGTCGTTTTCGAGTCATAAATATTGGCGCATTTTTGTCCCTGTTTATATTTTAAAGGTTCGCCTTGTATTCAATGACAATGTGTGCTGACCTCAGTGGTTAAGTAGAACAACAGCAAGAACAATGCTATGTTCGTATTGCCACTATGAGTTAGGAATTGCATAGTGGAGTATGACAAGCCTTTTTTGCGAACGTGTCGATACATAACGACAGTAACACGTAGTAGTTTTCTTTCCACTCTAGCGGTAACAGTTCTCGAGAACTTACTTATCACAAGATCATGATGTGTGTTGTAGTAGAGCAACTCATAACTATGGTAACACAATGCATCAACAAATGATTCGTACTACGTTGGTAATATGACAGCGTGAAGAATTGTTAATCAGGTTTGCATCTACATTGATCCTATGAACAGCGCCTCCAGTGGCAAAATGAAGATATCTTCAGTATGTAACAATCACTATATTATACTGAAAACTGTGCCATACTCGCCAAAAATCATCACAGTGGCGGCGGCACCGGCAATTTGTTTCCTCAAAATGCAGGAAATAGCGTTCAGAGGGTCTAGATTTCAGATCTCGCCCCTAAAGCAAAATTTGGTGCCGCCGCCTCTGCATCAAGATGATGACGTCACAGTACATTTGATGTTTTTTCTTCAGAAAATATGCGTAGCTTAGAAAGCACATTAAGCACTACAATAAATAAATAAATAAATAAATAAATAAATAAATAAATAAATAAATAAATAAATAAATAAATAAATAAATAAATAAATAAATAAATAAATAAATAAATAAACAAGGCCAATAAAAATTCATATAAAAAAACAAAATGAGAGAAAAAAAAACAATAAAAACTTAAGCAAAAAAAAAACGAGAGAAAGGAAAATAAAAATACGAGGCCAATAAAAATTTAACCAAGAAACAAACAAAAAACGCAATACAAAAAACGATCTCCTTGGGTTGGTTAAAATTCTATCACGAAAATATTTTTGCGACAATATTGAATTGTCACTATTATGTATGAAGACTATACATTTCAATGTTTTGTTTTATGCACATTTGAAAATATAATCCAAAGATACATATTTAAATATATAAGACAATTGCAGCCAATTATGTTAAAATGTCCATATGGAAATTGACCCGGAGTGAATGAGTTTTGCTTGGAAAATAAGCATAAGCCTATGCGATTAATATTATAATTAGTTTTAGTTTGTTGTGGTCACTATAATATTTTCTTTTCAAACAAACAAACAGACAAACAAACAAACTGATTGCAACGAGCGTGAAATTGGCGAAGTATTCACATTCAAGTCAGATTATCGTCAGATTTAATTGATTTAGCATTTTTTTGAAATATAATTTTTCGCTATTCCAGATGAGATATGCACTCTGCAATTTCGAGTTTCGACTCAATTAACACGTTAAATTAATATGTGTATATTTTTGCTAATATCTTCTGAACTGTAAATATTACCAAATTTAATAGAGATGCTTTAGGTGTTCAGCGTTGAGAGATAGAGTTTTGCTTTTCAATTTAAACAATTAATGAACTCATTAGCATATTAAATTGATTTTGAATTTTTGTTAATATTTTGTATGAAAT